GTCGATTATCTTGGCCGCAACAAGACCGCAATCACACCCTCCCCGCTGCTGCTGCCGTACTTACGAATCTCCGCATGTAGTGTGTACGTCAAGAGGTGGCGACAACCTGCCGACCCAACAGGGGGAGGGGGCGGCATCTACAGGAAACAGTAGCTCTCGGCGAGAACTGTCCGTCCAAACAACACGCATGCACCCTTTTTTTTTTTCTTAATATCACACAACAAATCCATCTCTATCTTATGCACCATTTTACCTCTTTTTCGGAATACGTGGCCAACGTGGATTGTGGAATACCGTAGAATGCTGCCAAACAGCACGCGACCCGTGTAATAGTACGCTTAGTTGGTCTAGAGGGGGAGTGAGCAACGACGCGATCTTACGGTAAGTAGACAGACAGCACTATCTGCTAAATAGCCCCAAGGCTTTTTCCTTGAAATGAATGGTTTTCGGGCGTTACAGCAGCAGTCGACGAGACTGAGATTCATATTCGGGGAAACATCGAAATGGAACCGTAGGCCCACAGGTAGCCCCTGCTGACTGCGAGGAATTCATTGCCAACTTTTAAGGAACTGTTCATATATAGAGATTGATTCGTTACGATTGAATGCAAAAAATATGCCATGGAAAATAAATAAATAAACGTGTGTGTGTCGTAGCGTAATACCGTCGCATGTCCAACGCATGTCCACGAAACGTTGCACGTAAGGACATCGCACACGTATGATATGCAGCAGCATTATGCAACCGTGTTCTACGTCATGCCAACGACGTGTGACCACCATGCGCACATACATGCGCATGCATATGCATCAATCGGAGGGATATCACAAAAGAACTTGAACAAGCAACGAGTGAACCTCAGGCAGGAGACTTGGTTGGAGCGAATTGATGAGGACCGCGGGACAAGGGATGGCTCGCGAAAGGCAAAGGTTGCGTCGTCACGCCATTGTGGAAGTTGGCGGAATCAATCGCTGAGATAGTTGACGAACTCAACACTCTGTACCGCCAAACGATGGAGAAGAAAAATGACAACCACATACACATTACTTATCGAGGAGGCGGGGGGTTTTCTTTGGAAAAAAACTCTGATTATGGTAGGGTAGGCGAGACACACGTACTGTAGAAGGGCGCCGAATCAGAGGGTTGTTCTCTTTCGACAATGATTTCCACACAGCGACGACCCTCATTTGACAGCAATACGTAATTTCGCATGTTTCAGTCTCAATGACTCACCAGTAGAATGACTAGCCTGACTTGCTGACGTGGCACAAATTTCAAGGTAGATACATGTCTGTTGGTCCGCCGGAACTAACTCGCGGTATCTATACTCTCTATACCTGCAACATCAGGTGTACACAAAGGGTTGGGTTACAAAAGACGCCAACCGCCGTAGCGTACGAAAGAAACTGCCGAAAAATCACAACGAAGTCCTCTCGTATGGAGAGATGTCAGGCGGACGGAGCACGCCCTTCCCAACTAGAGAGAGGCGGGAAGAAGAGACGGCAGGGATCGGCGGGGTATTTAATAATTGCCGCCAGTGCTGGTGGTGAGATCGATCGCTGATTCGCGCTTCGCCCGTCGCCCCCCCGTACATGTATCTCCGTGACCAGTTCGTTCCGAGCTTCTTTCTTGAATTGGAACCCAGGCCGAAGCTATGCCACAACTGCAACAATGACCTCCCGGCCTCCGTGCCAACGCGCCGGAAGCTGCTGATATACCGCCAAAATTCAACAGCAAAGCAATGCCGCGGCGGCCCGACGCACGGACGTATTGTGTTTTTGTTGATTGTTTTCTTATCAAGAGATATCATGTTGCGCAGGGGAGTGTAGCACACACTAAAACACCGACCTTCCAGCATCCGGATATTAATACCAGCATATTCGAAGATCAGAAACGGGCGTATGTGGGATTAACAACACCGCCGCTGTTAAAACTTGAAAATTATATATGGAAAGGGTAAGATCCTCTGGAAGAAGCAGCTTTGTTGCAGTAGCAAGCACCCAGGTTGCCGTGTTTTCGCGCGGCTATCTCTACCTCTGATCATCCGCGCGAATCAACAAAAAAGCTTTCCGTCGACTGTACGCAACAACAGCAAGCAACTACACACCCCGCGCAACCATCTATTTCGTCTATTGCTCACATTCCCAACAGGTTCTTGACGCGCGCGCGAAGTATTCTGGACATGGTTGTGCTGCCTCTATTTCGTTGAGCGATGAAGATAATCAAGTCTACGTTTGTATGGTTGGTTGTTTTTTTGTTCAGCAGCAGTAGCAGCAGCATGTTGTCGGAGTTATTGCATGCGCAACAAACGGCCCCCCCTATTACCTCCCAGCAGCCAGCTCCTGCCTGGAACAAATAGAGGGCAACTTCAGCTATAGCCGCTGTCGGGACACACAGCAGGCTAGACAACGGCGCACGCAGAGGGCGGCAACGAGTTTGTTCCGAAAAAAATGAAAAAAAAGTCAAGCCGGAGCCAAGCCGAAAGTCTCACCTGATTGTTCCTGCTTTTTGTGGGCACACAGCTCTCTTGGTTTTGCCAGCAATAATTTCCGATCGAGGTGTGTGGGTGTTTCTGGCGCCGGTAGATACTGCCTTGCGTGTGCCATGTGTTCGGGCTGGCTGCTACTCTTTCTGCTATGCATGGTCGGTACAATGCGCCGCTGCTTTCGAGGCGCTTACAATTTGACACACCGCACCTCATGTGAGCACGTCCAGCCTCTCTGGCAATCGTTGCCGCTTGTGATTGTGGGTACGTTTGGGATCGGGATCGGCTGACTCTTCAAACCACCGCCGCCGCCGCTGTCGTGTAGAGGCTGTTGCAGCTGCTGCAGCCGTCTGCCATCGAAGACGTCCAGCGCGCCCGTGATCTCGCCGCTACCTCTGCTGCTACTCATCGCCGCGTGCGTTATTCTAGCGTACTTGCTTGGCCGCGTGGGGGTGGTGTGTGCCGCTGTAGGCTGTCTTGCTGATGCCGTTGCTGAAGCAAATAAAATGTGTCCCGCGTTTTTCTCACCCTCTCGCTCTCTTGATTGGTGGAATGCGTGCCGCCACTGGCGGGAGGGGGTTGCAGCGGCAACGGTGGTCGTCGAGATGGGTGCCAGGCTCACGGACGATTTGCTCTGTCTTCCGCGTCTCCCTTGTTCCGGGTGTGACTGAGGCACGCACTGCGCAAAGCGACAAGTGTTGAGGTGTAGTTGTGTAGCTGCGTTCGGAAAGCGTCGTCCCATTCGGAGGATCTGGCTCTTTAGAACTAGTGTTCTAGCTCGTCAAGAAATATATATAAATTGTGCATCTCAACCAACCGTAATAATACAAGAAATCACACCGATTCACCGTGGGCCGCAGACTTTTCGACTTCGGGTTTAGGGTTATTTTCTCGGTGTGCTGAGTAGATGCGCATGATGATGATAGATAACAACAGCGATTTCTTTTCCCGGCATACACTTGGCCGTAGCGTACGTACTTGGTGATCACAAAATAAGTCGTGGCCCCTGTGATTTTGACCACCAGTCACACGGAGTACGGGCGCTGAGCAGAGAATTTGATTTGGATCAATAATTTTGGTTAAATGATGCTTGATTGACACTCTAGCTACTTTTACCTCTCTCTGTCCTGAGTAGATTATTGTCTAGTTTTACCGTCTTCGCCTGCCGTTGACTGCAGTTACTGATGATGATGATGTGACTCCATTATTAAGAAAAACACGACAACGAACCCATCCATCCATTCCATGTATGGCTTCCCTGCATGATCAGCCCGCGGCAATGGATTTATTTGGTCAGCGGTATACACCGGGCGTCCGGCTCTACACCCTGCCGTCATTTGAAAAATTCCATCCGATCCATCTATCTGTTGTTACGCGATTCAACGGCTTTGAATCCAAGACAAGAGAGCCGGCGCCCAGGTGGTCTTAATATTAATTTTAAGATGTTCGTTTCGGTATTTATGTCTCAACAACAAGGGAGCAATTACCGGTTGCTTCACCAACAGCAACACCAGAAGAAGAAAAAGAGTCTCCTCACCGTTGCTCGAGGAGTGTGCGTGTGTGCGTTTCACGCGAAAAAGCTCCCCGCGACATCATTCGCGTCCGAGAGCGATGGGATGCTAAAGCCAAACTCCGGGGGGGTCAAACGACGCCAATCAATCAATCTCCCCTGCAAACAAAAAGCGCCCATATATATGCACATATTCATTTATTCATACAAACGCAATGGACAAACGGGTCCGCCCGGCCCAGCAGGCGTTCACGAGGGGAACGAACGTACCTGATGGTCCGAAAACGGTCGGTTAGCGGTGGCAATGCCAAGCAAGGTCGGCCTATGTTCAACGATCGGCACAACAACAATTAACTATCTAACTCGGTTCGTGTGACATATCAGTTGAAGTGAGCAATCTCAGAAACTCGAGGCTGACAGGACAGAAAAAGACAGAGAAACGAACAGGAAAAGGCCTCTCGTGACTCGACCCCGATGCTGAATAATAACACCACCAACCCAAGCAAGTGTGGATGGACAATTGGTGCAGCCATGCATCCGAACTGCACATACAAATGCGGGAGTAAAAACGTAAAAAACAGCTGAGTGAGGAGGAGAGAGATGGACGGCACCTCAGTGGGTCGCCAGTCACAGAACACAAACGAAAGTTCCCCTGAGTGAATGTGGATAGGTACAAGGTGGCACAACTCCAAGGAACCCAATCATTTCGAATTCCGCCGGAGATATCACAGTTGGGTGGAGCACTCCCTATACTATCTTGCCGCAGAGACGCACACCCGTCGCCCCGGTGGTCTTGTCGGTATCTTCGAAACCCTAGGTCAGGTCAGGGGTTTGAATCCCGGCGTAAGCGAGCTTTTCTTGCAAGGTGGGTTTTTCTCTCGCTTCCGCTCCTGGCCTAGTGGATAGCGCTAGTTCGTGTGTACACAGAGGCAGAGAGCGCTGAACTCTTCTCGCACTAAAAATCGAAGGCAACATACCGCAAGAGGGGGGGGTAGAGGGGTCCTTCTGTTTGACCACGGGTTGGAGTTAACGGCACTAGTGCTGTGAACGCTGATTTGAAGTGAAGACAACGAAAAAACAACATGATTGATTCACAGGCTAAAACAATAAATAGCTGTGCGATTCCCACTTTTTTGAAACGCGGGAGAGCTGATGTCCATCTCACGGGAGAAATACAGGTAGCCAGCTCAAGTTTTGTTGACACAGCCAGCAGCAACTGCTTCACGACGATCTCTCCCTCTGAAGCGCGCGGTCGATGTTAGGCCTCCTACCCTCGGCATATTCCAAGGCCCACGGAGGGTTCGCGGAAGGACGGAAGAACGCGTGTGGCCAGACTTCGTCTGAAACCCATCCCCCATCCAGCTCCACATCCATCCACCCACCACGCCGATCGATGCCCCATGCCCATACACGCCGTGGTTGAACAATGAATGAAGTTAATCAACATGCGAACTGCTGTCTTCGCCCATCACGGCACGCCCACTTCTCCTATTATCATATCTTCCCTTCGTTGTCGCCACCCCTAAGCCAGCCTTGCCTTGCTGCGTACCCAAACATGTCGGTCACCGCATTCCTCTCCTGTGCGTGTACCATATCAGAGGGACAAGGGTAAAAGCAGCGGGGGTGGGTGTGATACGCGGGTGGGAGGGTCAGCACGCAACAACTAGGTGTGTGTCAGATCAGACCACATCCACTTCGTAGACTATTCTGAGCAACTTGCTCACTGCGTCACCCTTATCCACACGGTACGAAGGTAAAAAACAACAATACGGAAGGGGAGAGAGTGAGCGCGCAGGTCGAGCGGGGTGGTCGCACAGAGGTCGGAGTTATCGAACAGCTTTGCGATAACTTGCACTGAAAACTCCACGTTCGAGGGTATTGTCGAGAGTGGTAGTGCGTCCCCGGCGCACACCTCGAGCCGCAACGGTTGTCGTGCCAGTCTCGCTTTACGTCATTGGGGCTCTAGACTACTGCTCTTGTGTGCCTTGCAGCGTGTGGCATACCCGCGGGCAGGAACATGTCATTGATCGATTGAATTCGATCGGTAAATTAACAAAACATGGGCCACTTAACCAAGCACATCGACACACACACACCTTGCTCTGCAGCTGAGGTTTAAACACAGACGGTCCACTGCCACGACAACCATATTGGCCTTCCTCTGCGATGCATACATACGTTCGCTTTCACCACTCTTGTACTTTCTGTCATTCGTGGCTTGTGTTCTGCTTAGTGTGTTACCCTAAACACAATGAAGCGACAGCGTCAGCCGGGCTGGCTGGCCATCGACGAAGAAAACTTCCGCCAGGCGTCGAGCGTGATCCGAGCGCGGTGCTCCTAGTCAACGGGCTCCCCCCGGCAGAGGGAGGCGCAGAGGAGGGGGTTGGGCGACGTTGAGGGTCCAGCCTCCGGATTCGAAGCGCAAGGATAAGACTCACTACCGCCATGCCTGCTGCGGTGCCTTCTTTGCACGAGACTCGTCGACTCGAAGTTCGCTGAGCACCCCGTACGACACATAGAGAACCGCCCCATAGCGTCCTGCCCGAGAGCGGTTTGGGTGAGGTACTGCTGTATGAGCCACTTCCTCTCACGCGGGGATCTACGAAGAAAATAACCTCTAGATGGAAGAAGAACGATTTATCGGTGCATCCATGCATCTGCCGCAGGATCGACGATAGCGACAACGAGAAGGTCTACTGGTGCGTCGAAGGAGGATGAAGTTTCGCGTCCCAGGCGGGAATCATGGAAGAACAAAACAACAGAGGATCAAGATTGGTGAAGTCGACTGACGCGCACTCAAACGGAAATTCTTCCTCCTATACTTGTTTCTCTCCACCCCAAGGAACCGATGTTCCCTCCACTTCCCCAAAGCCACTATTTTGTGACCGAGTGTCCAGATTCCGATTCGTTCAGATCGATGCAGACTGGAGTATTGCCAGACGTGCGGGTGGGATCCTGCAGGAACCGCAAGCGTGCCTTGGGGAAAGTGTTTCGTTATGGTCACCGTAATAGGAAGCTGCGAACGTCAAGGCGTCGGTTGGTTCTGTTCAACCATCTTGGCGTTTCTTCCCTCGTCTCCTTTTTATTTTCTATTTTGAATTTCTCACGAAGGCACTATTTATGATCTGGAAACATTGCCGGCATGATCAGGAAGTATTCGTCACTTGAGATGCTGGGGATCATCAGACGTTTGTCGGGCACCAATGCCAAGCACCTCAGCAAGAGTGGCGCCGTCTCACGGCAGACCCACAGTTCGTGTTGTTAGCGTTAGCGGCAGGGTTAGGGTTAGGGTTGCCCCAACTGCTACTGCTTTCACGCGCGCCGTCTGTGTGGACGCGGGAAGACGCGCGGGGGCTGTTGGGAAACGTGGTCGAATGGCCTGCGAATGGTTGCGGGCACAAAACAAGCGCACCCGCAGTGATATAAGCACAGAGGACGCCCATAACAAGGCGGCAGGGGGGCGCCCCCTTTCCTCACTCTCTCAACGAGGCTGCTGGAACGAGGCCGCTGCGATATCTGTCGCTGGTGTTGCGCTGAGCGCGCAGCTGCTCGTGCGAACAAAACTCAAAAGCTCCTCCTTGCGTTTAGGGTTCTTGGGGGGATGGTTGTCCCCACTCCGGGCGAGTGTTTTTGGGTTGGGCGAGCTCCCCGAAAATGCCCCCTAGCGCCGAGTGTAGGAACCTACATGATGCGCCTCGCACGTCCCTAGTCACGCGCCCTCTTGAGGGTGTACGCGCGCCCGAACGCCACGTCTAGCTACTCGATGCTGCCGTCGCAGGAAGTCTTTACGGTCTGCCAGTGAATCTTCCCATGTACGGCTAATACGCCCTCTGATTGGTCGAGCGTTGGTTCGGGCGGTCGTTTACTCTCCAGCCCCGTCTCTCTCTTCCACACTCCGACAACGCGGCGCAGCCGCGTTCTGCACCAGTTCGCGGCCACTAGGCCGTGCGTTGGCCGTGGGTTAGGGTGAGGGTTAGGATTGGGTTTGGCCGGCCACGGTGTGTGACACATCCCAGGTGCGGAGCTTAGGCTCAACATCCGGTTAGGGCTAGAGGGTCACTCAACAGACCGTACATAGCCCACCGCAATCGATGCGCTTTGTTGAAGCGAGTCTCACCTCCCCGGCTAGGTCCGGGTGCCAAAGATCGAACAACAGCAGCACGCGCTCCCTCTCGGTCTTGTTCCACACCTCATGGTCGTAGCAGTCATCGAAAACTATGCACTTGCCTGCCTCCGTGGAAGCGCAGCACGCGGACGACCAAACGAGAGCGATGGCAGAGAAAAAAGTCGGAATCCCTTGGAATTCATCGGTGTTGTGCATCGGCGATTGAATTACGGAGGACTGGAAGTAAACCGCGTGCACTGACGGAAGCGAGCACGCCGGGCTGCTAGCCTAGCTCGAGCAAACCGCGTTTTTTTGCGCCACGACATTTACTCGCGAGTGTTTGTTTTTCATCACACGGTTCACAAAGCTTCGCGCGGCACCAAGTACAGCTCGTTCCCTCCGAGCAGCGTCCTTTCCGCACTTGGCAGAATTACACCAACGACCATCCCACCTATCGAACACCACACAGGACATCACAACCGTAAATGACCAACTTAACCCCACACAATACGACACCCGGTACACAATAATGATACAGGCAACATGAGCCCAAATTTAAAACCAACATCAGAACAATTAATCGGTCGACAGGATACACCACGCAATACAAAATATGTTACATTTCAGAAGTCAACAAAATACACATGGAACCCGGGGGGGTGTTGTCTTGCGTGTTCGTATATACGGCGATACGTCATCGGGTACAAGGCTGAAAAAAGAAATTGTGAGGCAAGCTTCAGAACCTTACCCTCTTCCCACGGTCGAATCTCTCCGCCCACACGTATCCCGCACTGCGAAGGGTCCGTGGACGGCACGGTGAGGGGCAAGTGGCACCGCAGACGCAAGTTGCAGGGGGCGGTGTGGGCGGCGATGGAGCTGCCGCCGTGCAGCGTGGAAAAAAACGAGAACGAGAACGGCGTGCCCACCTGCGGTGACAGTTGCAGCAGCAGCAGCAGCGGCGGCAGCAGCAGTAGCAGCAGCAGTAGCAGCAAAAGCAGCAGAAGCAAAAGCAGCGAAGGCCACAGAATAAGAGGTGCAGTCTTGGCCAGAGATGGGATGCACAAACATCGGGTGTTGGCAGGTGTTGTGCGTGCAGAGAAGCACATCGAAATGCAACGACGTGAGATGATAGCGGCGGCGGAGGCAGCGGCGGCGGATACTCCTCGCAACAAGCAAAGGGCGCACTAAGTAGTGCAGCGTCATCCAATTCGACAGACAGAAACTGCATGCATCGGGTGCAACAACTCGAAAACAGTCTCTTGCTTTCGAGGCTCCCAGAACAAACAGCGACATAGACCGGTGCACGTGTGTCTGTTGCCACTATGGACATGCAAGCACCCGGCGTACCGCAACCTAATTTGTGTCCGTTCTCTTGCGTATCAAAAGACCGTACGATCGCTCACCATGTGATCCGCCACACCATCCAATAGCGACTGCCGAGGTGACCAGAGCAACAGCGAGAGAGAAGGAAGCGTGTTGGGGAGGGGCAGCACCGTAAGAGAGTAGGAGAATGTGTCGGCGTCAAAAAAATTAATATTTGTCATTGCTCTCTCACGGGGCGGAAGTTGTTCCTGCATTAGGTGATCAAGCACCACGAGTGTCAAGCAAACGACAAAGACGGCGAGAGTGGAGGGCCCAACGCCGTTGTTTTCTATAACCACCACCTCACCGCGGTTAGCGGGCAGTGCTCTCGGAAGACCTCCTGCCTTCTGCCCTTGAGCACGTAGCTGTGCCAGTCCCACTGCCCGGAGTGCAGCTTGTGCTCGCCACCGTCGCCGCCCGTGTCGTAGTCGGAAGCCGCTTTCTGCGGCAGAGGTTGAAGATCGCGGGAGTCCAGCAGAATCATGGTGTACACAGAAACTTCTGCACTGCAACCGCTACCAACTGATGCGACTTCGACCATTCACCGCCAAACGAGCTTGGGTGCCAATGCCCAAGAGCCTTGTAACTTGACGAACGTCTACTCACTCGCCCCGAGCCTCCTCACTGTGAGCAAGCAAGGAATGCCTCTTCTTTTGAGCGAATGCCTCTTCTTTTGAGGGCGGCCCAGAGTACGACGTGACGTCAGGTGGCCGCGTACTCCTCAATCTGACCCCCTGATTTCATGCCAGCCTGGCGTTGCCTTCACTTCGCCGCGTCAAAATCAACCTCCCTAGACCCGTCGAAGGTCTTACGCTTAGCTTGCACGTGGGCGAACTGAGAAGCTCCAAAAAAGAGCCGGCGGCTTGTATCTTGAAGATACTGCTGTATGAGAGCGTAGTGTACCTTCTTGTGCACAAGGTTCTCGTACTCCGCGCGAATCGCGGGGACGTTCTTCTCCATCTCCTGGCACCAGGGGAAGCTCGCCGGGTCATGCCACGGCCGGGACGACAAGCCGGGAAAGTAGAACATAGTCGGGTTCGGTCGGTGAACCGCTTTTTTCGTGCGCGTAGCAGCAATCAGAGGAGTTTTCGCCGAGGGAGCGCAACAACGTACGGACAGCAATCAGAGGAAGAGGCGGGATAAACTACACCTGCTCAACAACTGGAAACAACGTCCGCTTCAATCCATGAACAGCACTGGGTTTGTTTCCAGCGGGTGTGCGGAACACATGGCGATGGAAAGCGGTAGGGACACTGATGACCTGACCTTGTTCTGCATTGCCACGTTGCTGCTGTCTCTAGAAGACATGTGCTATTGACGCACACCTGGTGTTACCCCCCATGGGCTAGGACGCGAAGTCAACTTTCACCCTCCGTACGTCTACCACAGCCAACGCGTGCTGTGTTCAGCGTGGCACACGTAGGTTTAAGGTTTCTACACCCCGCAAGACACAATCAAACAAAACCACTACTCGCACGAAGACTTACAAACACAGGCCGCAATTACTATAGCAGTCTACAGTACTGCGGATACCCTGCTGTGCGCACACACCCTCTGCGAGACATACATGAACTGAGCTATTCTTCCCAAGAAGGCGTGTTTTCCACGTCCACTCTCCCTTCTTCCCCTCGCTCCTCGACAAGCTTTTGCTTAGACATGGGTTGTAGTGAAGGGGGGGGTCTTTCTGGCGAGCAGGGCTAGACTCACCCTCAAGGGATGACCGAAACCTTCTTGCTGCTGCGCATCCGCCGCGAGGCGTGCGTGTGGTGGTGGAGTTGGGTCGGCACTGATGGGGTCAGGCGGGAAAATGTAGATGCGCGGGCCTTTCTGGCCGTCGGCGTTGGCAGTGATGCCCATCTCATTTTTGTGCGCGGAGGCAGACACCATCAGAAAGGTGGACGGGCACTACACGGCCCTAGGTTTGCTAGAGGGAGCTGTATTGCCTCAGTAACCTGGCTTCGCCATCAAAGGAGGAGGGAGCAGGTGGCGACGAGCTGAACTAGGCTGGTTGACCATTCGGCGCGAGAATTTTTATTTTTTTCAGACCAAGAACCTTGAGTGCAATGAGGGAGAAAGCGAGGAACGGACTGGGAAGGACAGCAACGAGAGCGTGTACGGACGGAGCAGGTCGAGTGGCGTTTTGCTCGGGCGGACTACAGCGGCGCCGGATGGAGCAATGGCACCGGAGCATGCGGGCGACATCGACCCGTGGCGCACGGACAAACATTTCTATCTGTGTTGTCAATTTTTTTCGTTTTTTTTCTGACTTTCCGTGTTGGTTTTGTGTGATGACATCGTCACCGGTTTTGTAGAGAGACCCGTCAGAGATGGCGTGGCTAACCCGGGTGCATTGGTTTTGTGCCTGATCGTGGAAGACCCCTTCAATGTGGAACGATTCTTAGCTAGTGTCGATATTTTTCACTGCAGTGCCTAACACAGACGATCGGGAGAGATTCGGGTGATTGTCAATTGCTGCTATGATGGCTTTGGTTGGTTGTTCTTTTTCACTGTACGGCCGCAGACACATTCTGACAGCACTTCAGACAGCAGCTTTGTGCCCCGCCAGCTGCTTGTTCCATGCCTACCATGGTGTTTTTGTACAGACAGCACTTCAGACAGCATTATGCTGTAGTCGGCAATCTTCCGTTTTGGTATAGAGTGGGACAGGGAGGGGGTGATGCTACTGTAGTCGAACGGTGGGACGGACGTGCAGTTCAGTTTTTGGGCACGCATACGGTGCTGCAGGGATTTTTAGGTGTACCTCTTCGGGCTCTTGCATACCTTTTTCTCGTCAGATGTGTGCGTGTTCTTTAGATCCTCAGATGGCTCTAGCACTTTCGTGACCACGGGCTGAGAGTCTTTTGCTAGATTTTGGCATTTAGCAACTGACATACGGTTTAATGTGAAGACAAACAAAACAACAACAAACAGTGTACTATCCTGTGGTGTCACACCAATTTCCAGGGCTCATGCTCACATGTTCGCGTCCTGCACATCGCGCTCTTCACAATGGTAGCCGCCATGCTAGGAAACATAGCCTGAACGTTGGACTGGGGGACGTGCTGCGCCGCCGGACCTGGTCGTGGACCAGGCTGAGGGCTGTGGGATAATTTCGCCGCGTATTTTCATCAAGAACGCCTCCCACCATTATTGTAAGAAGCGGGGGACTGACACTCGGTCTCCTCGACGCTCTCGTTTGGTGCGGTAGCTGGTCTTTCTTTCTATCATTTTGTTTCTCTTCCGAGTGGTTTTTGTACCCTATTTTTTTCTGTTTCTTCGTGGGGTCGTGTATGCCGGGTTTTGAGACCACGGGCTCCCAATCTCTCTTTTTTAGAGCTAATGTGAGAAACAACAACAACAAAAACCTGCTGCGGCTCCTCGCCCGTTGCCTCCCCCTTCCCTCGTGCTCTCCCGTACAGGTGCCCCTGCAGGTGCCCGGGCAGTCAGCAGGAGACAGCGGCAGACAATGAGGGCCAGAGAAACGTCGCCGTTGCGCGAAACTCACTCGCATTAGCGTCCCAAATGATATTGATACTAAATACCACTTCATGGTACGAAGAACCAATCCGGCCGGTTCATTTGACAGTCCTCTCTGTTGTTTGACGATGTCTGTGTGATCCCTGCCGGACATCTCGAACTTCCATTCCACACATAATGTCATTGGGAAAACTGCTGCGTGCAACAACGGAGGAGGGAAACAAACCACAAATTGATCGATGCACATGAAGTAGATTAGCAATACGAAGAGTTTGATGATCGCACAGATCAACCCTTCGCTGGGACAACCACACCACGCATCGCCAGCAAAAGACCCTCCTTCATCTCCCTTCTTCCCCTCGCTCCTCGACAAGCTTTTGCTTAGACATGGGTTGTAGTGAAGGGGGGGGTCTTTCTGGCGAGCAGGGCTAGACTCACCCTCAAGGGATAACCGAAACCTTCTTGCTGCTGCGCATATCCGCCGCGAGGCATGCGCGTGGTGGTGTAGTTGGGTCGGCACTGATGGGGTCAGGCGAAAAAATGTAGATGCGCGGGCCTCTGGCCGTCGGCGTAGGCAGCGATGCCCATCTCATTTTTT